TGCTACAACTTATAATCTGGTCTCTATTAGGCCCACCTCTGCTCTCTGGTATCCTGGAGTCCTCTGAGGTATGGCTGAGAACACATGATCCTTGGCCCCGAAGCCCAGCCCCAGGGAAGCACTGGAGCCAGTCTTCCTGTTAGGTTCTCAGCTACTTCTGGGTCTTGTCTGTATCACTGGAGTGTTAAGGTCACTCAGGAAAGCTAAAAGCAGCTTCTCCTTCCATCTAACAGGGCTCCATTTAGTTAAATTTCGCTGTCAGCTGAAGAAGCTTCCTCTCAAATTCTAAATGGGAATCAGGACAGAAATGCCCACTGCCCCCACACCCCTTACTTATCTGCACATGAAACAATACTAGTCTATACTGAGATGAGGCTTAGTATGTGCTTCACATGGTTTAAGTCTCACAACAACCCTATGAGGAAGATGTACTATCATCATTCACATCTAGGAGGTGTGGAAGCTGAGGCACAGAGAGGTTGCATGTCTCACTCAGGATCACACAGCCCTGTAGTAGAGAGTGGAGCCAGTACAGGAGTCCTGGTGCTCTCAGACTGTGCTCTCTTGCCTCCTCTGGAACCCCTTGGCCTCTTCCCTTCACTCTTCCTTCTTGTCCTCCCCGCCCCCAGGCCAGAAAAAGGCAAGATTTATTTTCCCTATGTCATACGCGGTCTCTACCATGAAGCTGGTTTATTTACTATATAAAGAACAGCATGGGTTCAGGGGTTTTTTGAGTGCTTTTCTTCTGCATTTCCAGAGAGAGACTGTGTGTGGATGTCAGACGTTAGGCAAATGTTTCACTTCTTCCATTGTCCCCTTCAGAGGAATTCTGGGAACTGCTGAGACTGGCTGGTGGCAGTCATCCAACTCCCATATGGAGATGCAGGCTGTGTCCTCGGCAGCTGACGACATCCCTGAGGACATCAGCCACCAGCAGTGGGACTACGTCCTCTGGCAGCAACAGAAGTTGGCCAGGGCTGGCTGGCCTCCTGCCTTCCCCCGCCAGGACATCGGGAGAAGTGACCATGGCGAGCACCCTGTGTACCCGCAGCTGCCCAACCTGTGACTGCTGGCCCGGGGCTCCACACAGAGGCCTACCTCTTGCTACAGGGACAAAGACTTTCTCCTTTTACTTTCTTCACCTGGAGGTCCTCATGAAGGAGGATTACTAAAATGGCGACATTTAGGCTAACAGATGGCCTATTCTTATGCTTGCCCTTTAAACGGTCAACTGACCTGACTGACCGGTTGCTACTCATAGCTCCAGGCCCATTGTTAAAATAAAACTATTAATTTTACTGTTTCTCCTTTATTCCAGTAATCGAAAGTAATAATCATACTTGGTTTCTGATTTGTTCTCCAGGGAGAAGGTCACAGAACTGTCACCTTACAAAATTGGCTAAGTACCAAGAAGACCACGCCTTGGGCGCTTACGAGATAGAGATGTAGAAAGTGACAAACACCGGTTTCTACAGAATTGATCACCTGGAGGCATCATGACGCCACTCTAAGTTTTATGATGAAAAAAATGATTCTACTGATTGATTACTGTTTGAGCTATGGCAATATAATCACCCTGCCCCATCCCCAAGGTGGGCTCACAGTTTTGAAGGCACTAGCCTGCTCTGAGTCCCCTTTGCCCGGCAAAGTAATAAAGCTATGTCTTTTCTTCTGAGCTCCAAGATCATGTCTCTGAGTTTCAATTTGGCTTGTCAGGGACAGGGGCTGATGTTTCGGCAACACTCAAACAGGATGGGATTGGGGCTCCTTTGACCGTGTTGACCGTTTAGGCCCAAAGCCCCCCAAAATGAGCCGTGCACATTTGGAGAACCTTTTGTTTTTCGGGTGTCTAGATCCTCTATCAAAACCTTTAAATACACCGTCTAAGCCTTAGGGTGGTGTAACTCTGTTGCTCAATTAGCAGTAGCTTTAAGTGGAAGGTCTGGTTTTGTAAAGTGTTATCCTGTAAAATGTGAAGTACAATCTACTGCATGTAGGTCTTGCCATAGATTTTGAAATAGTTCATAGATTTCATTCCTTCAGTCATTTAACAAGCATGTTTTGAGTAGAATCTCTTCTCCCTCTGCATTTCCAGATAAATCTATTCTCTATTCATTCCAAATCCTCTATCAATGTTTCCCCTCCTGAATTTCTAGGATTCTATGTGTCCTCGGGGCACTAAGGAAGATGTTTCATCTATTTTCAGTGCGGCATTCTAGGACTCTTATGTATCCTCAGGGCACCAAGGAAGGCCTGTCATCTATTTTCAGTATTTTCTACAGAAAGTGTACTTTTATGATAAGGTTGTTCATATTAACTGAAAACATTTTCTCTGCCTCCAAGCGAAATGATAAATGACTCAGTGGCATTTATGCTGATCAGAAGGTCTGATTAGTACTCTTTAATGAAAATACATGGAAATATAAATAACTTCATTATGAAAGAAATTTGTTTGGAAGATGGAAACTTTGGAAACGAGGTTCATATGGGCAAATAATGCTTGATAAGACAGGGCCCACTACTACACTGTCACCTTGGCTATGTCTACTGTCTCTCTGAGAGCTCACAACTCACAATCTCATTGTCACTGTGAAAAATGTCTTACACCTATTACATAATTGTCTGTTTCAAGGGATGTCAAGATGCAGTGACTAAAAGGCCATTTTTTGGTTCATATGTGGCCTCGAGTTTCAGGAGCCACTGAGGTCCTAGATTATTCTAGGATCAAAGACTAGATAATAAAAATTGTCACCCCACTTTTTCATGAACTGGGGCTATTGCAGTTGATAATGATGTTCAGTGGATTCCCTGATCTCCGTCTTCCAGGAGACCCACGCTGGAAAGACTGCAGACCCTTACGGCAGAGCAGTGGTCCTGGGAAGCCATCAACACTGCATCAAGGTGGTGAATGCCCTTGTCCCTGGGGTGACAGTCACTGCTGCTGCTCCCATGTCCTTGCAGAGGTAGGGAGTTAGGGCAATAGCTACTTAGTTTCATTTCCTTCTTGATTCTTTTACAATACTTGTTAAAGGGAAACAAGCCCCAAATTGAGTCATTTGTGCTAAAACTCATCAAGACTTAATTTCTAACCTAACTGCAGTTTCAGCCTCTCCCAGAAGTGGAATAAACCAACCAGTCTGGAATTTCCTGTTTGGCACTAGTAAGGCAATCTGCCCAAGACCCCCTGCATTCCCCTAAGGGAAGGTGACCTTACCTGAAATAAACCAGTCTCTTGAGTTTCCTTGTCCTTTTTTGCCTATAAAAACCTCCTATTTTGCACGATTCTTTGGATCGCCTTTCTACTTGCTAGATAGGATGCTGCCCTTTCATGAGTCATTGAATGAAGCCAATTCAATCTTCAAATCTAGTCCACTGAGTTTTGTATTTTGAACACACTCAATAATTAGAACCCCAGTTCACTGAAGGATTTCAACAAACTTGCTTTGAGTGCTGCTCCATGCCAGGCT